CAGAGACCTTTTCCACATAAGTTTTTAATTTTTGGTCTGTTTATATAGTAAAATATCCATTCTAAAATAATATCTTTCCTCTGCATTAATATTCCTGTAGGAGAATTCTTAGAAGGTAAAAATAACCAAAATGCAATCAAGCTTTGTAACCAAACGATTCACATGAGCATCTGGCCATTTCTTTTCCACCAAAGACAATTCTCTCTCAGCTTCAGCTGATAATTCTTTTGGACTATTTAAGTACTTGACAGCGTCTAAGGTTTGAACAAATTATTCATTTTATCATTTTGTGTCCCAATAGTGGGCCATAGATAGGAAATGTTTCCTAGCAGTCTTTGAAAGTCATTAAGAGTCTGCAATCTATCTCTCCTAACTTTCACTTTTTTGGGTCTAATTTTTCTGTAGTCCTATTTTATATCCTAAATAATTAGTGGACTCTTCCCTTTGTATTTTTTCATGAGCAATTTGTACTCCCCAAAAGGCAAAATTTTCTTTACTTCTTCAAAGATTTTCTCTAAGGTATCTACATTTGAATCAGCTAATAAAATATCATCTATATAATAGTGAACTATAGATTGGGGAAACTGCTTATGTATCATTTCCAACGGCTGTCATACAAGATATTGGCACAGGGTGGAGCTATTTAACATTTCCTGTGGAGAACCTTGCACTGATATCTCTTAAAAGGCTGAGAATTATTATAAGTAGGCACTGTGAAGGCAAAATTTTCTGTCTTTTTCTTGTAAAGGTATAGTGAAGAAACAATTTTTTGTTTTGTTTTGTTTTTAGAGACAGGGTTTCTCTGCGGGTTTGGAGACTGTCCTGGAACTCTCTTTGAAGATCAGGCTGGCTTCAAACTCACAAAGATGCACCTGCCTCTGCCTCCTGAGTGCTGGGATTAAAGGTGTGTGCCACCACTGCCTGGCTGAAACCCAGATTTTCAAGGGAAATGCCCAAATTGAAAATTGTGTTTTTAATTGCTACTGAAGAACAGAAAATTTGTATATCCCATCTCATTATTTCAGCACTATTCTATTACCCATTCCTAAGCCTTGTAGTGTTTCATCCTCTTTTTTAACATTTATTTAAGTGCGAGTGTATGTGTGTGGGTGTGCCACTGTGCACATGTGGAAGTCAGGAATTGGTGGCAGGTGCCTTTACCCTGAGTCATCTCATGAGCCTCTTAGGGCATTTCTCTTGTTTTATTGCTCTGGCCAGACCTCCACTGTCATGCTTGAATGCTTAATATGAATCTTGGCATAAAGGAAACCTATGTTTTTCACTGTAGTACATTTTTACCATTATTTTTTGTTTTATTTGTAGTTCATTCCAGTTTCACTATTATGACTTATTACTTATTTTGATGGGGTTTCATGTATCATAGGCTGGCCTCTAATTTGCTATATACCCAGTAATGACCCCAAACTTCTGATTCTCCTGCCTTCACTTCCCACAGGTTGAGCTTCCACATATACCAAGCTTCACAAATGCTATGAAAACACTCCCAGCCTTTTTTTGTCTTCCTTTTTTCCCCTCTCTGAGACAGGGTCTGACAATATAGCTCTGCCTGGACTAGTACTTACACATATAGACCAGGCTGGCCTCAAACTCACAAAGATTCACTTGCCTCTGCGTCTCAAATGCTAAAATTAAAGTCATGTGACACACCAGGCTATTAGTAATGTTTTTTTTAACAACAGAGTCTTGATATATAGACCTGGCTGGCCTTGAACTCTGAGATCTCCCTGCCTCTGCCTACCAAGTACTGGGATTAAAGCATCAATGGTGGTCCATGCCTTTCATCCCTGCACTTGGGAGGTAGAAGCAGGCAGACCTGAGTTCAAGGTCAGCCTGGTCTACAGAGTGAGTTCTAGGATAGCCAGGGCTATGCAGAGAAACCATGTCTTAAACACACACACACACACACCATGTCTTAAACACACACACACACACACACACACACACACACACACACACGCGCGCGCGCGCGCGCGCATGCATGAATGCACAGTGCACATACAACACATGCATATATATAGCACACATGCACATACACACAAAACATTCACATCAAGCCTGTTTGAACCATGGTCTCGTTCAGGCAGCTCAGGCAGCATTTGAACTTACTTAGTAGCCAAGTTTGACCTTGAACTTGTGATCCTCCTGCCTCAATCTCCAGAGTGCTAGTATTTTAGTTGTGTACCATCACCCTTCTGGTATTTATCCATGTATTTACCTTCTTTGGCAGTGGTGAGAATTGAACCCAGGACCATGCTCTACCACACAACTATACTTCCAGCCTCAGTATCATTATTTGAGAATGTCAGCTTTTTTTCTCTTTTTCTAACATGATGAATGCCTGTCTATTAACTGGATTCAGCCCTGCAGTTGCCAGTCTGTGCTCTTCAGTTTACCCACTTTATACCCCTGAATTACAGCGTCAGCCTCACCAGATAGGATCCTGAGGTGGTTTGGATAGAAATGCCTCCCATTAGACTCAGGATTGGATGCTTGACTCATAGGGAGTGTTGCTATTTAGGCGTGACCTTGGAGTCACTGTGCAGGTGGGTTTAGAGGTTTCGCATGCTCAAGCTACACTCAGTGTCACAGTTGCTTCTGCTGCCTGCTGGTCAAGACTTAGAACTCTGAAGCTCCTTCACCAGCACCATGGCTGCCTGCACGCTGCCATGTTCCACCATGGTGATAATGGATTAAACATCTGAAACTGAAAGTCACCCCAATTAAATGATTTTCCTTTATAAGAGTTGCAGTGGTCATGGTGTCTCTTCCCAGCAACAGAAACCCTAAGACAGATACTGTTCTTTCTATTGGCTGAGGGAGGTGAGACTCAGAAGCATTCACCCCAGTCTAGAAGGGGCAGAGCCAGGATTCAAACACAGCCCTGCCTGACACCACTCTGTGTTCTTCCTGGGTGCTTAGCCTCTCAACACCACACTGTTCTGCAACTTAGGGGCTATTCAGGGTGCTTTGGACCCTCTGCCATCAATTCTCTGTGACCCCCGATGAAGAGCTTTCTTTTCTCTGGGGCTCAGTCTCCCACCTGCTAGCATGTGCCAATCAGACTACAATAGTGTCAGGCTTCTCTCGAACAGTCCTATGCCAAATCAGCCTTATTCTGTGATCTGTCTCTGCCACTTACCTGCTCTGTGGCTTTTGCCTGCTAACCCTTGATACCCCCATTGCCTTATCTCAGCTGCAAAACTGGATTCAGTCCCTAATTTGAGTGCTTGAAACAATGCCAAGCCTATGGCAAGTGAGTGATTTTTTCATGATTTCTGGAAAGTATGTGCACATGTGAGTGCTGTTGGGAACAGAGCTCTCGCTGAGTATAAAAGCAGATGTGTTAACATTTCCCTGATTGTTCATGCTCCAGTCTAAAAACAGGACTTCTCCCAGGAAACCTCTGATATGTAGAGAATAAAAGCCAAATTTCTTTGTTTTTAAACTTTTTAAAAAAAGATTTATTGTTATGTATGTGTTCTTCCTGCACGCACAATGCATGCCAGAAGAGGGCACCAGATCTGATCATAGATGGTTGTGAGCCACCATGTGGTTGCTGGGAATTGAACTCTGGACCTCTGGAAGAGCAGCCAGTGCTGTTAACCTCTGAGCTATCTCTCCATCCCCCCAAATTTCTTAATACCCTATGTTTTCTCTAATTCACCAACTCACATTTCCATAAAGCAGAGAGGCTGGGAGCATGTGGAGGCAGGCCATGCTGACTTGACTCCCAGCTCTGCAAAGTGCAGGCTGTGTGAGCTTGGGCAAGGAGCTCTGTCTCTCTGTGCCTCTGCTTCCTCAACTCCAAACTTGGGAAAGCAACATGACATGAGCTGCTTAGCAGTGTCCATTACATGAGGGCTTCAAGAATCAGCAACTGGTACTCCTCCCAGTCTCTAGTCACCCTGGGCTGTTCACCAGCCCACACTTCATACCTGCTTCCTTAATTGCCTTCCCTTGTCTTCCCACCAGAGCACTCTGTGGCAGCAGGTATGGTGGCCCACATCTGTAACCCCAGCACTCGGGAGGCTAAGACAAGATGGCTTTCAGGAGTTTGGAGCCAGGCTAGCCTAAGCTACAGAGTGAGGCCTTGTCAGAAAGTCAGCCTGCTAGTCAACTAACCAACCAACCAACCAGCCAGCCAACCAATCAAGTGAACCAATACAAAGCCCCAGCTCAAATGTCATCTCTTGCAAAAATTTCTATCCCCACCAATCTTCTAGCTCTTTTGCAGACAGGACACTTGGATCCTCACCCACCACATCCTCCTTGAACATGTGGGAAGTCAGGTATGGTTCTCAGCTCCACACAGAGGTCTGAAGATCATGACAGGCTTCTAGGAAACTCAGCCATCAAACAGTCAACTCTACTGTGTCCTACCCCGGTCCTTTTCTGAGCCTCAGTTTCCCTTTCTGTAACAGAACAATGTGGCCAAGAGGATGGCTGTGAAGAGATGGGAAACATGAGTTAAGAGCCCTTTTCTCGTACCTGCCTCTCAAATGGCCTGGCTCGCCCCACCTGGACCAGCTGGGAAGGGAGGGAACTGCTAGAGGTAGGGACATGGGGAGTGGCTTCTGTCTATAGTCAGAGCTTCAGCATGGGGACAGGGGTGGGATGGGGGTGAGGCCCTGGATTCTTAAGGTCCACACACAAGTATAAACCTCTTCCAGGGACCATTTGCACAGACTGCATGTACATAGCATCTGGGGAGCACCAGGTCTGCACTTGTGGAAGAGAGGGGGTTGGTAGCCTGTAGCCCAGGCTGATGTAAAGCTCAAAATTCTCCTGCCTCAGCTTCTTGGGTGCTGCAGACAGAGTTACAGCCCATCTGGGTGAGCCTGCAACCTCTGTGATTCTCCTTGGCTGGCCGTGGTGTGAGGACCATAGGGCAGCTCAGCCTGTGGTTTGGAGGGGAGTGCTGTCCCTTCAGGCTAAGCAAGGAAACACTAAGACCCAGGCCTGAGCCATTTGGACACACATCAATGATAAAAACATTTATTGAGCCCTTTCCAAGCCATGGGTACTGTGCAAGGCCCTTTGCCAATTTCAACGCACTTTGTCCTCAGGACACTCTAAGAGGTAGTACTATATAAGTCCTGTTGTACAGGAGAGGAGCATGGAGCAGAGAGAGGGGAGTGCCTTGCTTGAGGTCACACTGGTAACATCTGCAGCCAGGTCTGGCTGGTAGCTACACTCTATGCCCCAGGCTGAGTGCCTCCTACATACTTACCTCACAGTCCTCTGAGGACGCCATCAGGAAGTGTTCTGGTAATGGTTCAACACACTAGGACTCGACCACACCCAGCCAGCATAAAGAGCAGCCCGGTCTGAGGTCACCCAGGTAAGCCTGGATGGGTAGGTAGCACCACCCGGCCTTCTCTTGGAGGAGGCCCAAGTACAAGCCTCCATCAGCCAGCCCCTGGGAACCTCATGTTCTGGCCATCTCTCGTACCACTGCTATGCCCTGGAGCTATGGTGCCTGCCCCTGCCCCTGTGAGTGCTGCAGGGCTCCCTAGCTGATCACAGGGCATAGGAGGACAGCCATGGGATAATGCTGATGCAGTAACTTCCAAAAGGGCTTGTGCCAGTGGCTCCCCCGGAAAATCCAGCCTGATCATTCTGAGGCCTGGATGTAGACCGGGACAGCAAGCATGGTACACGCTCCCTCAGCCCCGGCCTGTAGCTCGGCCAGTGCCAGGTTGGAGCCCAGACCCTCCGTGTGCCCGGGCACCACCAGCTCCGGGTCCCCACCCACTACGATGGACAGCACAGCGTCCTGCTCGAAGGGTGGCTTGCCAGGAGCAGCCTCGGGTGCAGGCCCTGCAGTCTTCAGCTCCTCCAGCCCCAGGGGGTCGGGCACCGGGCTCTCCTCCTTGTGCACTCCAACGATGCTGCCGCCACCACGTGGGGATGCTCTCCTCCGGGAAGGCCGCCGGGCTTGCAAGTCCTTGTCCTTCGTGGGGCCCAGGCGGCAGCGGTGATCCTTGAGGTATTTGTGTCGTGAGAAGCCCTTGGCACAGCCCGCGCAGCGGAACTTGTAGTTGCCTGTGTGCGCGCGCTGGTGCTCGGCCAGGTGGGCTCGGCGGCTAAAGGACTTGCTGCACAGCCCACACTTGTGGAGCTTCAGGCCTGGGAGGGAGGGGCTGTTAGGAGAGGCACATCCCCTCACCCCGCACCCGTCCCACCCAGGAGTAACTGCGGCCTGAGACCCGACAAGCATCTGTGTGGTCAGGCCTCGCTGGCCACACTGTCATCTTTCACTCTCCCTGTCACTCCCATGCCTGAAATAATCTGCTTAATCCCTAAGCCTTGGTGGACTCTGCAGGGCAAACCACCCTCTCCCTGGGTGACCACAGGCTGCCGCCTCCTCTGGGCTGCTGGCCTCACCGTGTCCCTCAGGCCATTGCCGATGGTAGAGAGAGAGAGAGAGAGAGAGAGAGAGAGAGAGAGAGAGAGAGAGAGAGAGAGAGAGAGAGAGAGAGAGAGAGGTTTTTGTAAAGCACAAAATAGTCAGAGCCCTGATGCCCAAATCCTACTCTGAGGCGTTTCCCACAAATCAGGGTGTGGTTTGCCCAGCCTCTCCCCCACCCTGTGCCCGGGTTCTGGCCCCTCCTTCCTCTGGTTTTTCCTTATCCAAGGGGCCTTCACTTGTTCTCTCTTTCCTAGCTCTTCTAGTCCTCAGGCCTGAGCTCTGATTCCCTGATTCCCACAGCAGCCCTGCTGGGCCAGGCTCCCTTTGTAAATGCCTTCACTCTTCAGCCTCCTGGGGTTGGGGGCCCAAAAGGAGCAGCTACTTCCCTGAGACCACCCAGAAAGAGGCCAAGGTGTCAAAGTCCTTGATCGACTCTCCCCCATTCCCATTAAAAAGGAGAGGGCATCTCATATAGCTCAGGCTGGCTTTGAACTTGCTATGAAGCCAAGGATGACCTTGAACTCTTGCTTCTGGCCCCAACTGGAACTACAGTTTTTTGCTATCATGTTTAGTTTATGTTTAGTTGCGACTCAAACCACAGGGCTTTATGAATGCTAAGTAAGTGCTCTATCAACTGAGATACCTTCCCAGTCTACGCTCCCATTTTCAAGCTTTTAACAGAAACAACTTTATCTCCATGGGAATTTTTGGAGACATTTTTGATTGCCACACTGACATACCATGGATGTGGGTGCTCATGAAAGGGGAAGTGGGTCAGCATAGACAGTGGATGGGATGCTGATAAACACTCTTGTTTGCCCTGGGAAGGTGGCTTAGAGACCTCTGTGCTTCCTGCCTTCCCAGGCAACCCCTTGGCCACATATTGGATGGCATTGACACACACCGCTCTGTTACTGCACACAGTCTAGTTCAGATGCTTACATCTACTTCCCCTGAGACTGGGGTTGCATCTAATTTACCTCTGCCATGCCAAGGTCCCCAACACAGAGCTGGCTTCTATCTCCCATGAACACATGAGCAGAAACCCGCTGGCTGGATAGACTAGGCCGGGGCAATATGCCTCATACGGGTGCCTGCTCTCTCCCAATGGCTGTATCCCAGGGAACTTATCTTAGCCAGTCCCTCCAGTGGGCCGGAAGCCTCTTACCAGCGTGGGAGAGAATGTGGGCTTTCAGCTTGTCCTGACGGTTGAACTCCTTGCTGCAGCCTGTGTGCATCCTGGAACCCAAAGCCATCGGTTACAGAACAGGAGCATGAACCTTCTCACTGGGGCCTACACCAGCCTTTGCCAAGCCAAGGGCTGGGAAAGGGAGCAGCATGGGGAGTGAGCCAGGCAGGACCCAGCAGGACCCATGGAGAAAGGCCCTCGGTCAACCTTCCATATAGGCCTCTCTGAGGTAATCCAACTCCCCTCCCCATAATTAAGGCAGGCCCTACTTACGAGAAGGGACATTTGTACTTCTTGAAGGGTTCGTGGATCAGCATATGTCTCTTCAGCTTGTCCTTGCGGTTGAATGCAGACTCACACACTGAACATTTGTAGGGCTTCTCACCTGTGGGGACATGGGAACACCTCATGGATCCCATGAGGGCAAGTCTGAATCCCTCAGGAGGAGGAGCTTTTCTTAATTTTCCTGACTTGGCACAGTGAATTTGGAGGGGCTTTGTTTGTTTCTTGAGACAGGTTTTCACTGTGCAGCCCAAGCTGGACTGGAATAACTCAATCCTCCTGCCTCAGCCTTCCCAAGTACTAAGATTACAGGAATGTGTCACCATGGAACTCAAGGCTTGATGCTTGCCAGGAAAACACCACACCACTACACCATAACCCCAGTTTTACAATATATTTTTTAATTAAATGTGTATAATTATTTTTATGTGTATGACATCATTTGCCTGCATGTAAGTCTGTACACCATGTACATGTGTAAGCCTGATGCCCAAGGAGGCCAGAGAGAGTGTTGGATCCCCTGGAACCTGAGTTGCAGACAATGCGAGCTGATCTTCGGGTGCTGGGGACTGAACCTGGGTCCTCGGGAAGAGCAGCAAGTGTTCTTGGCTGTTAAGCCATCTCTCTACCCAACCCCTACCCACAGCTTATTCTTTTCCCCCCTTGAGACAGGGTTTCTCTGTGTGGCCCTGGCTGTCCTGGAATTCACTCTGTAGACCAGGCTGGCCTTGAACTCAGAGATCTGCTTGCCTCCAGGGTACTGGGATTAAACGTGTGCTTCACTACTGCCTGGCTTGTTTTCTAGGAGACAAGACATTGATATGTCATCTGAATATCGACTCATACTTCCAGGCCAGTCTGAGCGACAGAACAAGACCCTACCTCATATAAACAAAAAAGATCTGAATTAATTTTGTTTTCTGCTCTAGAAAGATCTCTGGACATGCTGGGGGAACATCTTGGTACAGCCATGTGCCTTTCAAGGATGAAAAAAAAAACATTGCAGGGAAGCCAGAGGCTTGTTATTGTGTTGCTGGTGTGTGTGTGTGTGTCTGTGTGTGTGTGTGTGTGTGTGTGTACGCACTTGCATGCGCTTGTGCGTTCATGCCAATGTGCATGTACCTGAATGTGACAGCCAAAGGTAGCTGAGTGTGTTCCAACACGGTCTCTCTATGTAGACCAGGCTGACCTGGACTACAGGTGTGTACTACCATGCCTTGCCTTTTAGAATGTTCATCATCCCAAAAGGAAATTATGCTCTAAATACATGTTTTAAACTAACACACTATTAAGAACAAGCCACACAAACCAACTTCTGAAAACTTGTCAGAAAACTGTACTATGTATACCATAAAACCAATCTGGAAAGAGTTGGAGGGAAGGAAGGGAAGGGAAGGGAAGGGAGATTGTTATGTAATTTTTTTTCTGAGACAGGTTTTCTCTGTGGCTTTGGAGGTTGTCCTGGAACTAGCTCTTGTAGACCAGGCTGGTCTCAAACACACAGAGACCTGCCTGCCTCTGCCTCCCTAGTGCTGGGATTAAAGGCATGCGCCACCACCACCCAGCTGTTATGTAATTTTATTTTAAATAAAAATGTATTAAAAAAACAAAGACCTCTAGCTAGGCTCAGTTACTATGGAAGGAGTTGGGAGCTGCATGTAAATTGTGGCCTGCAGGTCCCAGCTTGTAAAGGTTTTGTTTTTGTCTGGTATTGTGTTGAAAGAGAAGCTCACACTATTGCCCAGGTTTATCTCAAACCCCAGGGCCCTCCCATCTCAGCCTCCTGAGTAGCCAGGATTTTAGGTGTACACCACACCCATCCAGTACTTGTTTTAAAGATAAAACTGAATCCTGGGACTGGGTAGATGGCTTGGTGGGTAAAATGCTTGCTGCTAAGTGTGAGTACCTGAGTTCAAATCCCCTGAACTCACATAAAACTGGAAGGGCGAGCACATATCTGTAATCCTATACTGCTAAAGGGTGATGAGAGGTAGAGACAGGACAATCCCTGGGCACTTAAAGGCCAAAGCTGCCATTTGACCACACATGTATGACATGTCTCTCTCTGTCTCTGTCTCTGTCTCTGTCTCTCTGTCTCTCTGTCTCTCTCTCTCTCTCTCTCTCTCTCTCTCTCTCTCTCTCTCTCTCTCTCTCTCTCTCTCTCTCTCTCACACACACACACACACCCTTGAATTCTGCAGCACAGACCTGTCCTAGCACTCACTCAGGAGGTAGAGGTAGAGGATCAGGAGTGCAAAGGTCAACTTTGGCTATGTGAGATACCATCTCTCCCTCCTCCATAAAAATTTAATAATCCAAAAACTTTTACTATAGCTCAAGCTGGGAACCTAGGAGAGGGAGTAGGAATTTGCAGGACAGTCATTCAACACCCATGAGATAGTCTAGCAGGGCTGGCATCCACAGAGCAGAGTCAAGTTCCCCCTACCTGCCTCTGGGGCTCACCTCCACTCTCTTTTCTCTTTCTCTTTTTTTTTTCTTTCCTGTTTTTTTTTTTTAGACAGGGTTTCTCTGTGTAGCTTTGGAGCCTGACCTGGAACTATCCCTTATAGACCAGGCTGGTCTCAAACTCACCCTTCCTTCCTTCCTTCCTTCCTTCCTTCCTTCCTTCCTTCTTTCCTCTTTATCCCTCCCTCGTTTGTTTTTATTTTTTGCTTTTGTGAGACAGGGTTTCTCTGTGTAGCCCTGGCTGTACTGGAACTCCTGGAACTTACTCTGTAGACCAGGCTGGTCTCCTACTCCACAGACCCAAGTGCTGAGATTAAAGGTGTGCACCACTACCGCCCTGCCCAATGAATTCTTAAAGTGACCACCACCACCCAGATTAATCTCTGCTTTCAAGGTGGTGGTGGCTCCATGCTCACAGGTAAGGTGGTGGGATCCATGCTCACAGGAGAGGACAGGTGAGTGAGGAGCAGTATGGAGGGCAGGAAGAGGAGTTCAAGGGAGAAGGGGCAGGACAGAGAGGGGGGTGGGTGGGCAGGGTGCCCACCTGAGTGGATGTGGGCGTGCAGCTTGAGGTAGTGCTCCTTCCGGAAGAACTTCTTACAGATCTGGCACCTGAACCGGCCACCACTACCATGGGTGGGTAAGTGACGCCGTAGGTAGCGCTCACAGGGGAAGACCTAGAAACAGACAGGATTGTGGCAGGTCAGCTTCCAGGACCCCTTCCCTTACCACCTTCCACCTTCTGAGTTCAGGAACCCTGGTTTTGAGCTCCTTGGAAACATCATCCTATCTGTCCACAGGGCTAGAGGCCAAAGTGTCAGACCCAGCCCTCCAGACCCCTGAGCTCTCTAAGCAATCATGAGACCAGCCAAAGCACATTCCCTCTGAGTTGCCACCCAGGCTAGTCTTCCTACACAAAGGATGATCTTTCTTGGTCTCATAAACTCCTATTCATCCCTCAAGACCCAAAATGGGTGTCAGTGCCTATCTGCAAAATCTTCTTAATTCTCTGATGCCATGTTAGACAACTCAAGTTCTGTCTCTGAGTGATCAGCCAAGTCTGTTTTGTTGTTTTTGTATGTTTGTTTTTTGAGACAGGGTTTCTCTGTATAGCCCTGGCTGTCCTGGAACTGGCTCTGTAGACCAGGCTGGCCTCCAACTCACAGAGATCTATCTGCCTGTCTCTGCTTCCCAAGTGCTGGGACTAAAGGTGTGTGCCACCACACCTAGCTATCTAAAGTCTTCAGTCAGGTCACTGTCCCTCTCAGGGATTCCTGTGAGGAAGACGCTGTGACACCTACCTTCTGACAGTGTGGACAGGGGAAGCTGTGAGTGGCTGTCTGTACGTGGTGTTCCAAGGCCTCGGGAGTGGAGTATTTATTGACACACTTGACACACCTAAGTGGGAAGAAAGAGAGATGAACTCTAGCAAGTATGGAGATTTCCCCTTGCTTCCCCAAAACCAACTTCAGGAGGCAAAATCCTATATGAAATTCATTCTCAAATGTGTCCACTCTTCTCTGACATTCTCCACCCTTGGCTGAGCTGCTGAGACATGTGCCTCTCTTGCTTCCCTGTCTCCTCCTGACCCCTCAAGTCCCTTATCCACCAAGGAAGCCAGATGTCTTTAAAAATGAAAATCGGGATTGAAGAGATGGCTTAGTGGTTAAGAGCACTGGTTGCTCACCCAGAGGATCGGGGTTCCCAGCACCCGCATGGCAGCTCACAACCATCTCTAGTTTCAGGGGACTCAATCACTTGTACAACAGTAACAAATTAAGGAAAAAGAATCCTTTTCTCTCTATCCAACAAAAATGCCTTTTGAAACTAGGGAGCAAATAACATCAGTAAATTTTTTTTTTTTTTTTTTGGTTTTTCGAGACAGGGTTTCTCTGTATTGTTTTGGAGGCTGTCCTGGAACTCACTCTGTAGACCAGGCCGGCCTCGAACTCACAGAGATCCGCTTGCCTCTGCCTCCTGAGTGCTGGGATTAAAGGCCTGCGCCACCAACGCCCGGCAACATCAGTAAATCTTTAAAAAATTTTTTTTGAGACAGCGTCTGATAGGGTCCAAACTGGCTTCAAACTTCTGTGTGAACAAGAACGACCTTGTATTCTTGCCTCCACCTCCCAAGTGCTGGGATAGACAATAAATCTTATTTTCAAAAGGAAAATAAGGAGGTGGGGTAGGTGTGATAGTACAGACATGTAATCCAGCACCTGGCAAGCGGAAGCAGGAAGACTGCTGAGAACTGGAGGTCAGCCTGGTCTACATACCAAGCTCCAGGCCAGTCAGCAACAACAACCACCACCACAGAAGAGAAAAATAAACAAACAAAAATGAATACAAGCTGGGTGAAGGTGACGCATGCCTTTAATCCCAGCACTCAGGAGGCAGAGGCAGGCGGATCTCTATGAGTTTGAGGTCAGCCTGGTCTACAGAGTGAGTTCCAGGAAGCCAGAGCTATACAGAGAAACCCTATCTCAAAACAAAACAAAACCAAATACAGAGTCACTTCAGTGGTTGGGGACATTCCATAGGCAGGCCAAGTCCACTCAACTCCAAGGACACACAGCAACTAGCTGCCGAAGCGTGGACCCCTAAACCATGGTGTGACCTCCACACAGGCTCAACTACCCACTGAGAGAGGCAAGCCTGCCCTTGCGTCACTGTCATTTTGGGTTTCTGCAAACAGCTGAATAATACAGCAAAAAGGACTGTAGTCATTTCGTATTGGACACCTCCTGTGTTCCAAGGACCATGTCTACATGCTCCATAAATTCTCTTTTTATTTATTGGTGTTTTTGCCTGTATGTATGTCTGTGTGAGGGTTTTGGATCCTGGAGTTACAGATAGTTGTGAGCTGTCATGTAGGTACTGGGAATTGAACTCAGGTCCTTTGGAAGAGCAATCAGGCTCTTAACTACTGAGCCACCTCTCCAGCCCCTTGGTAAATTCTCTTACTTGACCTTTACAAAGAATTCAGGAGAAAGCTAGGCAGTGATATTGGCCTGTAATCTCATCACTCAAGGAGCTGAGGCCTGAGGGTCACTTCAAAGTCAATACCAACTTCAGCTACATAGTGAATTCAAGGTTACCTGTGGAGACCCTAACTGGAAACAAAGAAGGGAGGAGTGAGGTCTAGGAATGTGACTGAACTGGTACACTGCCTACCTGACATCCACAAGGCTCTAGGTTTGGTCCCCAACACTGCATAAGTGAGGTGCGGTACAACAGATGTTATCCCAGAACTCAGGAGACAATGACAGAAAGATCAGACATCCTCACTTATACAATGAGCTCAAGGCCAGCCTGGGCTACATAGGAGTACTTGAGAGAAGTGGAGACAAAGTAGTCAAGGGTCATCCTTGGCTGTGCAATGAAATCAGTCGGGACTGCATAAAATATTGATGGGGGGGGGCGGTGACACAGGGATGGCCCCGTTCTAACAGGCTAAGCATTATCAGGACCTCTTAGCACAGGTGAGGAAACTGAGGCCAATGGCAGCTCAATACTTTCTCCACAGTCACGCGTTGGCCCAATTGGGATGCTGCATTGGCAGCTGGGGATGCAAGCACAGGCAGGAGGCTCCACAGTCCTTATCCTTACCCTCAGGGAGCCCTGAAGCAGCTGCCTCCTGAGATATTTGAGGGCAGGCTGGCAGCATTTCATGACAGTGTACAAAAAGCTTTTGTTCACACATCTGTCTCCCTGAAGCAACAATCATTTTTGTTCAAAGATCTGCATTTACTTATCTTAATCCCAGAAGCTTCACCCAGAAGTTTCTGAAGTAACAGATCACCAGACAAATCCCTACAGGTATAAGTTTGTATGAAATACAAATGCTATCCCAACATGAAATATTTAGTGGAAGGTGTCCCAGACAGACAGATATCTGGCCCCATAGGTTCAGGACTGTTTGTGGAACACCTGCTTTCAACCAGCAGCCAGCAAATGGGCAGGAAAAGCCCATAGGGCAGAAGCATGATGGTGAGTGTCCACAGAACACACCTTCTCTAGAGCAGGCCCAGAAAACACAGGGGATAGCTATAGATGAGTGATGACAGAAGGGACAGCTTCAGGGAGAAAACGATGGAGATCTATGTGGCAATCTCACTTCTCACAAGAGAATCCAGAACACCAGTATTTTTGGTTGTGAGCCTAGCCTTTAACAGCTGAGCCATCTCTCCAGCCCTAGAACACTAGGTTTTTGTTGTTGTTATTGGTTTGTTTGTTGTTTGTTTGGTTTGTTTTGGTTTGGTTTTTCAAGACAGGGTTTCTCTGTGGCTTTGGAGCCTGTCCTGGAACTCACTCTGTAACAGAGACCAGGCTGGCCTCGAACTCACAGAGATCCGCCTGCCTCTGACTCCCGAGTGCTGAGATTAAAGGCGTGCACCACCAACGCCTGGCAGAAGTGAATTCTTTCCCTCCATCATGTTGGGTCTCAGGAATCAAACCCAGGCTATGAGGCTTGGTAGCAAGCACCTGTGCTCACTGAGCCATTAAGGTGCTGTTTCTATGATAAATGCCTGAGAAGTGAAGAATGGTCTAAGAAGAGTCAGTATCATTTTTTTCCCCATGGGTGCCAAAGCACTCAGAAACACACCAGTTTGGACCCCAGTTTTTTGTTTGTTTGTTTGGTTGGTTTTTTTGAGACAGGGTGGATCCCAGGTTTTAGCCTTAGTTTCCCTTTGCAATTTGACACTGGTCCTGAGCAGCCTGGGCCAGGCTCCCTGCCCCTGGTCCAGCAGGGCTGGTGGCATGCACACATACTTGTAGACGGTGCTGTCCTTCTTGGGGCTGTGCTGCGGCAGGAGACTGTGGGAGTACTGGTGCACACCCAGGTCGTACAGCGAGGGGAAGTCTTTGCTACAGAGATGGCAGCGGTAGCTCAGTTCCTCCTGGTGGCTCCTGATGTGCTCCAGAAAGGTGTCCAGCTTGGGGAACATCTGGGCACAGCTTCTGACCACGCACTTGTACACCTTGGGAAGAGACACGGAGAGGTAAGAGAGGTGGGAATCACCTCGATGGCTACCCCCACTCTATGGCTCTGGCATGAAGCTATAAACACTGCTGTGAACAAACTGCCAGCTGCTCTCCTGCTCTCTACAGACAAAACAGGGCCTCTCCAAGGCTGGGCAAGCAGCCTACCATTGAGTTTTATCTCTAGCTCACTTTTTACTTTTTGATACAGGTGCTCACTAAGTTCTCTCAGACTGGCTTTAAATTCACTTTGTAGCTTAGTCAGGTCTTGAATTGAGATGTTCCTGCATAAGTCTCCTGAGGATCACAGGCTGTGGCACCCAGATCAGTTCCTGGCTTCACTAAGATTGCAGGGTTCTCTTCCCTTGACCATTACTCTTTCCTAAGGCTTGATGAAGCCGGAATGGATCCATAAAAATTACCCAAGACCTGGAAGTACAGTGAAGGGATGACACTGTACCCTCCTAATGTTGTGGCTCTCATCATTATCTGCTGGCAGTGGTGCACACCTCTAATCCCAGCACTTGGAGAAAATAAGCAGGAAAAAAGAAAAGGAGTCCAAGATCACAATTGGTGGGGCTAGAGCAATACCTCAGCCGTTAGGGGGGTTAGGGAACACTTGTCGCTCTTGCAAGATCCCAGGTTCAATTACCAGCATCCACATGGTAGTTAAAAATCATAACTCCAATTGCAGGAAATCTAATGCCTTCTTCTGACCTCCAGGGCACCAGGCAGGCACATGATATACATACACACACAGGCAAAACATTCATACACCTAAAACAAAGAAACTCTTAAAAATTAAAAAAGATAATCCTTAGCAACATAGTGAGTTTATAGTTAGCTTGAGCTACATGAAACTCCATATAGAAGGAGGAGGAGGAGGAGGAGGAGCAGGAGCAGGAGGAGGAGGAGGAGGAGCAGGAGGAGGAGGAGGAGGAGGAGGAGCAGGAGGAGGAGGAGGAGGAGGAGCAGGAGGAGGAGGAGGAGGAGGAGGAGCAGGAGGAGGAGGAGGAGGAGGAGCAGGAGGAGGAGGAGGAGGAGAGAGAAGAAGAAGAAGAAGAAGAAGAAGAAGAAGAAGAAGAAGAAGAAGAAGAAGAAGAAGAAGAAGAAGAAGAAGAAGAAGAAGAGAGGCAACACCACCACCAGGGTATCTGATTTGGTAGAAGTTCATGGCCCAAACATGTTACTTATACCCAGTAAGAATTCTCAGATTTGACACAAGTCTGGAGATCATCATTGGAATTATTACCAAACAAACTTCCCTAGGGTCCTTGGGGACATGGCTAATTTTGACTGTGTAGTATTGACTTAGGACCCAGACTCCCAAGTTCAACTTTAGTAAAAAAAAAAAATCCAGTCGCCGGGTGTTGGTGGCACACGCCTTTAATCCCAGCACTCGGGAGGCAGAGGCAGGTGGATCTCTGTGAGTTCGAGGCCAGCCTGGTCTACAGAGTGAGTTCCAGGACAGCCTCCAAAACAATACAGGGAAACCCTGTCTCGAAAAACGGAAAAAAAAAATCCAGTATAAATGATATTTTGGTGTATGTGTGTGATGCTATGGATGTAACTCAAGGCAATTGTTGTTGTTAGAAGAGGTAACTCCAAAGATTATAGATGACACATTAATAAAATTTGTGTCTACTTTAGCAGTCTGATGTGGAGATAGTGAAATGCAGGAGGTATGTGTCACACATATCATTTCCATTGCTTCTTTCATGATCTATGTAACATTCTGACATATGTGTGGTCTCATTTCTATAAGAAATATGCTTTTTTTTTTTTTTGGTTTTTCGAGACAGGGTTTCTCTGTGGCTTTGGAGGCTGTCCTGGAACTCACTCTGTAGACCAGGCTGGCCTCGAACTCACAGAGATCCGCCTGCCTCTGCCTCCCGAGTGCTGGGGTTAAAGGCGTGCGCCACCAACGCCCAGCTAAGAAATATGCTTTTAATATTTTGAAAATTCTAATAGTTATCAATATTCCTCAGGTGCTTACACAGTGTCAACTCCAATTTGCCCAGGGTATCAACAGACTGGGTCCTCCCAAAAGCCTTGAATCTAGTGTCAGTCATGTTGCTACTTTCTTGGCAATGATATGCAGGCAGCCATCTTTGGGATGATCATCCCTCCCAAAACAAAATGGCCAAAGCCTGCTGGCAGGAATCCCTTCTATTTTTTGCATTTATCTTGGCTGGGATATAAATGTGATAGACGGAGACACAGCAACTATTCTGTAGCATTGAGGGTGAACAGCACAAGCTAAGGAAACTAGAGCAGGAAGTCAGAAGCCTGGCCTTGGATGACATGCCTAGCCTGCTAGACAAGCCCAACACTGCCAATTTCAGGTCTGTCATGACAGGAGAGAAATAAAACTAACTGTTGGCCAGCCCTCTATCACTATAGGCATGTTAATAGTCTCCTACATGATAAGAGCAGGGCTCTGGAGCTGGGACACAGCTCAGTTGGCTCTGCTGGTAGCAGGCTTGCCTAGCATATATGAAAGCCTATTTCAGTGCTTGAAGGACAAAACTTCAAGGTCATCCTCAGTGCACACACATAAGTACAGGTGCCCTCAGAGGCCAGCAGAGGGCGTCATTCCCTGGAGCTGGACTTACAGGCATCCGTGAACCACCTGATGTGGGTGCTGGGAAATGAACTCCGTGCTCTTAACCACTGAGCCGAAGCTCCAGCCCCATGAGCTGTCTTTGATCAATAAGAGACTAGACAATTCTAGGAAAGGTTTCCATTGGCATGCTGGATTATCTACAAAGAGTAACCCTGACAGTAGCTCATGCCACTAAACCTGACAACCTGACATCAATTTCTGGAACTCCATGGTAAGAGGAGAGAACCAACTCCCACAAGTTGTCCTTTGACCGTCATATGCTCTGTGGCGCACACACACAGGTCAGAAACAGAGCACAGGGCATGGTGGCGCACACCTTTAATCCCAGCACTCAGGAGGCAGAAGCAGGCGGATCTCTGTGAGTTTGAGACTGCCATGCTCGACATAGGCAGTTGCAGTCAGCCTGGGCTACTGTGAGAACCTGTCTACAAAAAAAAAAGGGGGCAGCAAGCAGGAGGTAAGCCACAATGGAAGACAAGGCCACACCTTATGAACACAGCCACTAGAGCTGGTGAGACAAGACACAAAGCCCTTGAATCTGAGCTGAGGGCTTGCCCTGGCCCAGCCTCCTGCTATGTCAGATGACAAACCTCCTAACCGTTTAACCCAATTATCTATCATTCCTTCAGGAATCTATCTATCTTCAGGACAAAGAGCCATGGAAAAGGCTGGCCTAATTCCTGTCTCTTTCCAGGCAGCACTGGTAACCCCAGTGCCGTCAGGCTCATAAACGAGCAGCTGTGCCCTCTGCTTTCACGCCCACCCACCTGTTCCTTCTTGTGCTGGATCATGTGGGACTTGAGCTGGAAGTAGGTGCTGAACTTGCTGGGGCAGAACTGACACAGGTAGGAGCTGTCAATGAGGACCACCTGCTTGGCCTCTGGCTTGCCACCTCCATCCTCACCTGCCGTGGGCAAGGCCTGGGGCTGTGTGGCGCTGGACAGTGTTTGGCCCAATCCTATCCAAAAAGAGAAAAAAGTCACACACAGAGAAGTCAGAGAAGGGTTTTGAGTCAGGCAGGACATGCAGGAGGGCTCCTGGGATACCTACTGTAGACTTGTTATCAAATGCTGTATGTAGGACTGTACTTAGCAGATGCATGCCACTACAGCCAGACAAGATGCTAAAACTCTAACACACATTCTTTTTTATTTTATTTTCAGACAGGGTCTTATGCAGTTCAAGCTGGCCTCAAACATGCTATGTAGCTGAGGGTGATCTTGAACTCTTGATCCTCCTCCACTATCTCCCAAGTGCTGTGATTACAAGTCTGTGCCACTATGCTCAGGTTTTTTTGCTTGTTTGTTTTTTCAAGACAACATAGTTTCTCTATGTAGCCTTGACTGTCCTGGAACTCACTCTGTAGAACAGGCTGGCCTTGAGCTCACCTGCCTCTGCCTCCTGAGTATGGGGATTAAAGGTGTGTGCCACCACTGCATGGCCCATGCTGAGTTTTATATAGTGCTGGGGACTGAACCCAGGGCATCCTGCATGAAGGCAAATACTCTGTCCTGAGGTACATCCACAGCCCTTGAATACATTCTGACTGAGAGACAGCTAGTGACCTCTGTTCCACTCCCTACCTTCACCCAGATACAGTGACCGATCCATGGCTGTTAGAAACTGAGCACCCCTAAGCATATTCAGGTGGCTTCTCAGGCCTTTCTGATCACACACTTACCTTTGCTTTGTTATTCTTTGCTAATTAGATCATCTCTCACTCTCCCTGACACCAGGGGCCTGCTCCTTCACCTCTGCAGCCCATGGCCTGGCACACAGTAGGCTCCACAATGTATGCATTAATGAGTGGCCTCTGGTGCTGGGCAGGAGTTCAGAAAGCAAGAACCCAGGTGCAAAAGAGGGCTGGCTCCAACAGAGCACTGGTATGTCAAATAAAACAGTCCCCTGGCACGTGCCCAACAAAAGGCTCTTCAGCAGCTGGCATGTGACTGGGGCGCTCACCCTGCTTGGGTAGGGAGAACTGTGGTTCTGGTTCTACACTGTCCTATACAGTGGCCACAAGTCATAGGTGACATGTAAGATTTAGAAGATAACCAGTCCCAGTGCAGATGTGCTGTAAATGTAAATACACACCAGATTTCAAAAATTCAGTCAACAAATAGACACAATATTTCCATATGGCTTTGGGGTGTTATGTGTTGTGGAATATTCCTTTACACTCTGTGAAGATATGTCACTGTGATTGGTTTAATAGAAAGCTAAATGACCAATAGCTAGGCAGGAGGCATAGGCGGGGCTTCTGGACAGAGAAAGCTCTGGGAGGAAGGTGGAATCACCAGTCAGACGCAGAGGAAGCAGGATGGGCAGCACAGAGTAAAGTAACCGAGCCATGTAAAAGAGTGTAGGCTAAAGGATATGGTGTGATTTACGTTACAAGAACTAGTTATAAACAAGCCTAAGCTAAGGTCAAGCTTTCATAATCAACAAGAAGTCTCTGTGTCATTTTTTGTGAGCTGGCAGCCCAAACAAAGTCCATTTACAAAGTATGGCTCTGTGGAAGAACAGGAAGACTCAGGTTCCACACCCAGCTCCACAAAGGAAAAGGACCCTCATAAGTCCTTTGTGCTACCTTGTGAAGCAACAATACATCAGCTCAGTAAAATACATTAAGTCTATCTCAAATTTTATTGTTATCTCACTTGTGTGCCTATGTGTCTGTGTGAGTGGGTGCTGGCCAGACAGCGGGGCATCAGATCCTTTGTAGCTGTAGTTACAGATAGATATCTGTAAGCCAACTGATGTAAGTGCGGGGATCAGAGCTTTGGTCTTCATGACTGAACAGCAATACTCTTGACTGCCGAGCCATCTCTACAGCCTCTGTTTTGTTTTTCTGAGACAAAATCTAGTTATATAGCTCAGGCTGGCCTCAAACTCACAATCCTCCCACCTCAGCCTCTGGAGAGCTAGGACTACCAACCATGCTGGACTACTAAAAAAACTTCAAATTACATTATGGTACTTATGTTAAATCTCCATGGACAGTTCTGTTTATCAACCTAGTAAGTCCCTAACCCCTTTGTGACAGAACTAACCAGCATCTGGGACAGGACTGTTGGCTCAGGAGCACCTGGAAGCGTGGATGAATGAGAACCTGCAGAACATGTGAGGAGCAGCTACCCACCAAGATCCGATGGTTTCAACTGCTGATCAGCTACAGGAACTGCCTGGAGCACTGAAAATGGATCCCAAGGGCGAGTGATGGAGACCAGGGTTTTCCTGTGGCCCAGAATAAACAATGCTCTGCACGCAACATCTGGCACCACATAGAACTGGGTAAAGTAGCCAGGCAGTGGTGGCGCACACCTTTAATCTCAGCACTCGAGAGGCAGAAGCAGGCAGATCTGCGAGTCTGAGGTCCCTACAGTGACAGGACAGCCAAGGCTGTTACACAGTGAAAACTTGTCTTGAAAAACAAAAAGCCAAAACAAACAAACAAACAAAACAATAAAAAACTGGGTAAAGTAGCTCAGGTCTGAGGTAACCATAGCACTCAGGAGACAGAAGCAGTAGGATCAGGAGTTCAAGGTCATTCTCAGCTACATAGCAAATTCCAGGCCAGCCAGGCTACATGGGTGGGGGGGGGGCTGTGCAGGGAGAGGAAGAGAGGAAGGGGAGAGGGAGAGAGGGAGGAGGAAGGGAGGAAGGAAGGAATTGGATTTTTTTTTTTTTTTGGTTTTTTGAGACAGCGTTCCTCTGTATTGTTTTGGAGGCTGTCCTGGAACTTGCTCTGTAGACCAGGCTGGCCTCGAACTCACAGAGATCTGCCACCAACGCCCGGCTAGGAATTGGATTCTAATATAGATCCAGGCTCAGCCAGAAAGATATAGTAACTAATTAGTGAGTGGTGTCTATGTCTGCCTGGCTCAGTATTAGACTAATGTCACACATCCTTCCTTTCACTCCATGTCCCTTTTTAGACTGGACTCAGACTCACTATGTACAGAGTCAAGCCTTCATTCTCCCATCTTAGGCTCACCAAAGCTGAATGATTCGTGTACACCACACCCACTCTCTGGGTTCCATTTCACAGACAAGTCAGGGAAGCCACCCAACTAGCAGCAAAACCTATGAGACTGGGGCTGGGGGTGCAGAGACCCTGGGTTTGGGCCCCGGTACCACGGACAACCAAACAGCACCTTTGGAACCTGAGAGGAAGAGTCGGGACAGCCGCTCCTCCCACCCCCACTCACCTGTGTCCTCCTCCTCTTGCCTGCTGGGGTTCAGAGCCATGACCTGCACTGTGACAGAGTTTCGAGAAATGGTGCCACCACTGCGCCCTGGAGGCCACACCTTATGAGTCTGCATGTGCTTCTTGACATTGGACTTCTGGGCGAAGGCACGGCCACATGCAATGCACTGGAAAGGCTTTTCCCCTGTGTGGCTGTGGGAGCACAGTCAGTCAGCATTCCTCCATAGAAACAGGCACACGGCCTCCACCCAGGAGCTCACAGCCACCAGGAAGGCCTAGATGCTGCTGGCCAGCATCCCAAAACCCCTAGGACTTGTTCTCCCAATGTAGCAGATAGACCACAGGTAGAAAGACGGCTCTTGCGCTGCTCTGTCAGCGGCCCTTCTCCTGGGCCACCTCACATCTGAGATCACAGATTTCCTAAAGCGTCAAGCAGGAAGCAAATTGTGTGTGTGTGTGTGTGTGTGCTTGCATGTGTGTGTATGATGGGGGTGTTCTTCTGTTGTTTCTCTTATTGCTTGATGAATAAAACACTGTTTGGCCAATGAGGCAGGAAGATAGGTGGGCCTAGGAGACAAGGAGAATTCTGGGAAAGGTAGGCAGGGGGAGCCTGCCACACAGTTGCCATGTTGCCAAAGGAGTAACAGCATGCTGAGTAAGCCACAGTCTCGTGGCAATACATAGATTGATAGAAATAGGTTGATAATTAAGACAGAACTAGTCAATAAGAAGCTCTAGCCATTGGCCAACAGTTTAATAACTAATATAGCGCCTGTGTGTTCATTTGGGACTGAAGTGGCAGAACCTGGTGGGACAAGAACCCTAGCAAAAAGTGTGTGTGTGTGTGTGTGTGTGTGTGTGTGTGTGTGTGTGTGTGTGTGTGTGTGTGTGTGTCAGAGAGAGAGAGACAGAGACAGAGACAGAGAGGAGCTGGCCTCAAACTCAAAGAGATCTACCTGCCTCTGCCTCCAGAGTGCTGGAGTTAAAGGTGGGTGCCACCATGCCCAGCTTTGAAAATAATTTTGAGAAGTTCCCTATTGATTATCATTGAATATGGAAAACCAATTTTTATGACTACCTATGTATTGAAAATGCAGTAATGGAAAAATTCAGTGATTATAAAAACAATGTCATTGATGATCCAAAGTGGCACCACCCAATAGAGTGGACACCAGCCATGTTAAGGTGGACACCAGCTGTGTGGGACAGTTGGCTTCATTACGAGTGAAATTTAAGTCTGTTTCTCAGCTGCACTAGCCAAGTTCTAATAGCCGTGAAAGGTTAACAATGCCAATTTGGACATTTCTAGTATTGCCAAATGTTCCGGATGGGGACATTTGGCAGTGTTTGAAAACATTTTTGGCTGTCACAGCTGTGGGAGAGGTGGCAGTGGTGTCTATGGTCAGAAGCTAAGGATAATTTTGAAAATTCCACAAAGCACAGTCAGCACGACTTGACCCCAAGCCCCAGTCCCAATAATGCAGGGTTGGGAGACCCTGATCTAGACAGATGTCGTGCTTGTGTGAATCAGCCCTTGATTCTCTCTCAGAAATGAACAAATTCATGGCAGGTGTTAAAGGCAGATTAGCCCAAAGCCGAGACTTCCTCCATTCACTCTTTAGGGATTGAAGGTGAAATCATCTCACCACACCATTCCAAATTTCCCAACACCAGAGCCATGATCCCAAGTCCCCTGTACTAATGTATCCCACTGTGAGGAGGTGCTGAGCTCACCCACCCCACCATTCCACAGATGGGCTCCACGTTCTCGGAGAGGAAGGATCCTCTGTAGTTAGCTATCCTTGCACAGTGGGCAGCCTGCAGGCTAACCCTTCTGCAGTTGGAAGACAGGCAGCCTCGTGTGTGTGCAAAGCCGCTCCAGTCAAGGGTACCCACCCACATAGACATGCCAACCTTCCTGTCTCGATAGGCGAGCTCGGCCCTTGGATCTGAGAAGAGTGTGAGGAACCCTCCTTCTGGGCTCTGCAGGTCTGAAGATGGGCACAGGGCCTCAGAAGGGAGCCTTTCTTCCCTGCAGGTGGTTCCTAGTCTGTGCTGTGCTGAAGCCCCTGTCCCCAAGGTTGCCTGTACCTTCGGATGTGTTGCTGAAGATCAAAGTTTTTGGTAAATGACTTGTCACAGTAGGAACATTTGAGTTTCTGGGCCTTGGGCTTCCCTGCAGCCGAAAGACAAGGAAGGAAAAGGATGGTCAGGCCCAGCTGAGGAGACAGGGGAAACCTCCAACCATTTCTCCCGTGTACCTGGGGCCAGACAGCATGCACCCTGGGACATCTCCATCTACGTGTAGACAGTGTGAGAGGGAAAACCAGACAAAGCTCTCTCAGAGGCTCTCTCTGCTCATGGTGAAATCCACCACCTCACTCTTGGCTTCCAGCACTCCATGTCTTCTGTGTCTGCCAACTTCAGAACTCCCTCCGTCCGGCAATGGACTCCTTGCTAATCTCGATGATCCCTAGCATGGTCTCACCTCAGGACTTTGTACCTGCTGCTTCCCTTGCCTGGAAAGCTTGCCCTTCAGTACCTACAGGACTACTTCCTTCTGTCTGGACAGGTAAGCTGTGTCCTTCTCTACCCTGTATTCTCCCCGAAGAAACTCACAAATATTCACTTATTTTCTGCCCATCTCTCCCTTCTGTCTGGACAGGTAAGCTGTGTCCTTTTCTACCCTGTATTCTCCCCGAAGAAACTCATAAATATTCACTTATTTTCTGCCCATCTCTCCCATCAAACTCTGAGTGACTGACAGTGGAGGAGGTCCTGGACCAAGACCTAAATCCCCAGTGCGTGATGCATTGATGTTAATGTGTATTGCAGGAAGAAGGGGAAAAGAAGGGGTTAAAAGGGAAGCCCTTAAAACATCCCTAGTTGAGCTGTGCAGTACACACCCCAAACTCAACCCTACTCATCTTAACAGCAAAGACTAGACCCAAGCAGCCTGCAGGGAGGCCAGTGCCAGGAAAGATGCCCAGGGAGGGTGGGTGACCAACCTTCTGGGAGTCCGCTGGCACCTTTAGCACGTCTGGTCTTCAGCGGTGGTGGGGAGTCGAAGGTGGCCACTGTGCTCCCAGAGGCACTGGTCATGGGGGCAGTGGAGCTGGGTCCTTTTGTTTTGAATTCCTGCTTGCCAGGGCTGTACACTGGGGCCGTGGGGTACACCGGAGCCTCCACACACTGGTTTGGCACCTAGAAGGATAGTCCCGTGAGGGGGAGAGCCTTAGAAGGGACAGGATAAGGGGACCCTTGTGGAAGGGACAGGATAAGGGAACCCTTATGGAAGGGACAGGGTAAGGGGACCCTTATGGAAGGGACAGGATAAGGGGACCCTTATGGAAGGGACAGGGTAAGGGGACCCTTATGGAAGGACAGGGTAAGGGGACCTGTATGGAAGGGACAGGATAAGGGGACCCTTATGGAAGGACAGGGTAAGGGGACCCTTATGGAAGGGACAGGGTAAGGGGACCCTTATGGAAGGACAGGGTAAGGGGACCCTTATGGACCTCACTGCGGTCCTAGCTGCTTCCAACCACTGCCAGTCCACCATCACATAAGTTTGCACCTGGCTTACTCGGACCTCCCAAGACCCCTAGAACTTCATGAACTGGGCCAATAGGATGGCTCAGTGGGTAAAGGCCTTTCTGCCAAGATTCATGACCTGAGTTCAATCCCCAGAGCCCACGGAGTAGAGACTGAACTCTCACAAACTGTCATCCTCTGACTTCCACACATATGCCCCATCTACTAAGTAAATGAAAGAAGAGAGACAGACAGAAATGCGCACACTCACATACAAACACACACATAGAGAGAGAGAGAGAGAGAGAGAGAGAGAGAGAGAGAGAGAGAGAGAGAGAGAGAGAGAGAGCACAAACTTCATGAAGTAGCTTTGGGCTTTGGAGCTCAGTTGTCTGGGTTTAAACCCAGACTCAGTGGCCCTCACACAGTCTGCAGGTCCCATCTGTAGACTGCACGCTTTGATTAAAGTCCTCCTCTCCCCGAAGCAGGCACTCATGAGAAGGCTGGGTCTGCTTTTAATCTCCTCAGTGGCCTTAGCACACTGTCTGGCATGGCTGTGCCGGGTTCCGCCTCTGCTCACCTCCAGGGGTGGGTAGGGCTGCATCCCCAGGGCCTGGATCTCCACTGTTCCATTCGCTGCCATGGGTGCAGCAGCGCTGTACACCTCCACCACACTATTCCCAACAGGGTTGGGACGCCCGGAAGGGCCCAGGGTCTGGGGCGGCGGAGGTGGAGGCTGGGGAGGTGGAGGTAAGGGTGGAGGCGGTGGAGGAGGCGGTGGAGGCTGGGTGAGGTAGTTGGGCACTGGATGCATGTTCAGGCTGCTCTGCAATCAGAAGAGAAAATGACAGTGTTGAAGTGTCCGCTTCATCAACCTGAAAGACTTTAGTCAACATGTAAAAGGGACAGGAACTCACTGGGCAGCTCAGAGAACAGTACTGAGACAGGGAGAGGAACAGACACAGCAGAATGTCAAGGGATGTCAGCTTCTCTATGAAGGCCAAGGGATCCCTCTTCTCTATGGAGATCAGCTAAGCTAGCCTGCCTTGGCATGCATGCGCCAACACAGGAGGCCTAATAAGGCCATTGGGCGGGGGAGGGGGGGGCACGACGACACAAGTTTGTAAAGCAGGACTGGCTCTTGATTGGTGACTCAGGACTGACAAGACTGACTTTGGGACATTTCTCAGGATTCTGATCACACAGCAGTCGCTTACCGATAGTAGGGTTCAGGGGACCAGCTCCTTCTCTTCTGGGAGCCTGAAATCTGGTCTTGGTGGCAGGACAACTATGTGTACTGGAAAATCTCAAGGGGACACTATTTTTTCTAATGGACCATGAATACAAACAGGACTCAGGATAGCTGGACAGTGGTTGTCACACTCCATTGCTCTGCAGGGCTAGCCAGAGAAGGCAGCTAGTCCCTTCCATGTAGGGGAGCTGGAGCAATTTCTTCTACAATATTCTGATTTCACAGGAGTTAGTATGCAGACTTGGAACGAAACTCTTAAGAGATGTATAAGGCCCTGGAGTCAGTCCCCAGCATTGCAAGAAGGAAAAAAAAGACCCCCATGAGAAGCCCCCACCACCTTACCTGCACAGGTGGGGGCCCTTGAGGCATAGGCTGGTCCAGGGATGTAAAGGCTGACATGGCAGACATGAGCACGTCATCGCTCACCAAGATGTTTCCCTGCACCAGCGTCTGGATCAGTGGGGACGGGGGCACTGTGATGTATGTGGAGATCTGAGCAAGAGAGGAGGGGGCATGTCTGAGGTTCTATAAGGAAGCTGAAGGGTGATGTGAAAGACCTAAGTTCAAGCCACATATAGGGGTCTACACCTGAAATCCTAGCACCTGGGAAGTCAGAGGATTCCTGAGAGTTTGAGGTTAACATATTACACAGTAAATTTTACACCAGCCTGGGCTACATAGGAAGACTGTGTTTAAAAGCAAAAACAAGGGGCTAGAGAAATGGTTCAGTGGTTAAGAGGACCCAAGTTCGATTCTCAGCACCCACATGATGGTCCACAACTATCTGTAACTCCAGTTCCAAGGGCCCCGATGACTCTTCTGATCTCCAAGGGCATCAAGCATACATACATGCAGGCAAAACACTCACGACATAAAATAAAATGAATAACCTAAAAATAAAAAAAAACAAAGAGAAAACAACATGAACAACAGAAATTAAGTGAAAAATCCAGGTTCTAGAGCCTTTCCACCTAGCTGCCCCCATCACTTGACTCTTGGGAAGTCAGACTACATTTCTGAGTCTCCAATTAGTCATCTACCAATGAGGAGGGGTCACAACTGTCAGAAAGGCACAGACCTTTGGTCCAGCAATAATATTCTTGCCTTCTGTTCTAGGGAAGCAAGCACTCAGAATGTCCACAGAGCAGTCCACATGGGTAAAATGTAGTTCAGTTTAGGTCCCTCTTCTCCACACTCTCCAGTGGCTCCTGTATCTAAGTAAAAACCCACAGGGTCCACGTGATCTGATCCCTCCCTTACTCTCACAGGCCCAGACACTCTGTCATCTCTTGGATGTAGCTCTTCGAACACCTTGGTACACTTCAACCTCAGAGCCTTTGCAGGAACACAATCTGTCTGTCTGTCTGTCTGTCTGTCTATCTATCTATCTATCCCTCAACTTTTGAGCCTCTGGTCACATGTCACTTCAAAGTTTTGCTTCAAATACCACATATAATATGGTAAAATCTCCTACCCTTTCTCAGCATTTAATAGACTGGGAAAAGTATTATTTATTTATTTAAAGATGTGCTGGGCAGTGATGGCACATGCCTTTTATCCCAGCACTCACGAAGCAGAGGTAGGTAGATCTCTGTGAGTTCAAGGTGAGTTCCAGGACAGCCAGAACTTTTACACAGAGAAATTCCAACTCAAAAGCCAAAAATAAGAAGGACAAGGAGAAGAGGGAGGAAGAGAAGAAGGAGAAAAAGGACAGGCGAACTGTAAATTTCAGCAGCTGGCTAGAAGAAGAAAATGGAGGAAAGAAGGGTAAAACAAAACATACCACTAAAGTCAGCACAGAGATCAGATACACGGCGGACAAGCAGCCACAGGGCGGAAAGGAAGCATTGGAGCAAGAATAAGGAAACCCCAAGTGTTGAAAAGACATTAGAGAAGAAAAGAAGGTATGCTTTTCTGAATGACTTAGGAAAGTGGGCAGACTCAGGAAGATGCGTTGCTGCCACCTGGCAAGCTGCAGCCCAGGGTGACCTCAAACTCTTGATCCTCCTGCCCTAGACTCCTGAGTGTTAGAACTGCAGGTATATACCACCATGCCCAGCAAAACAAAACCTGTCCATCTTTGTGCATCTCACCCAACTCCGCAACGCAGATACTTTGTCAGTCCTGCCCAGCACCATGCCTTCAAGACTTAAGACAGCGTGTGCAGAAAGAGACCTTCTAAAAGAATCAACCAACAAAGGAACGAAAGACTACCTGGCGGTTGGCAGGAGGCGGGGTCTGCTGGACGGTAGCAGGTGCTGCTGAAGGTGTATAGATGCTGTTGGTAGCCAGCGAGACAGTGGCCAGGGCCGGGGCATTCCCCTGGCACTGTTCACGCTTGTGGGTCATAAAGGCTGGCAGTGAGTTGAACTGCTTCTTACACTTCCCGCACAGGAAGACATCCTCATCATCTAGGGTCAGGCCAGCAGTTGAAGAGGCCACACATGGAGTGGAGCAATGAAAAGAGCAAGAATGGGTCAGAGGGGAATCGCAGTGCAGAACGGTACGCTACGGCTGGCCTCAGAACAGCAAGTCTGAAAACCAGGTGTGACTTGCCATGCAGGTGTCCAGCATCGGCCACGTGCTTCCTCGGAATGTTCAGAGCCCAACAGGAATCTTCAGGAAGGGTCATATGCAGACCGTTATCAAATAATTTGAACTGCGGAAGCAGTACAGTGACTTCCCTCTAAAGTTGAGAAACACAGGCTCTAGACCGAATCTACTCGTCAGTCTCCAGTGGGTCATGTGGCCACTTCCTCACACCTTTTCATCCGCCACTCCCGGCCCCGGTACATCTCAGTTCAATTTATGCTGCAAGGCTCACCCATTCTAGGAAGTCTTTAGAAAGTCTTGTTTGTATTTTTTATTTTTTATTATTTTTTGGTTTTTCGAGACAGGTTTCAAGACAGGGTTTCTGTGGCTTTGGAGGCTCTCTGTCCTGGAACTAGCTCTTGTAGACCAGGCTGGTTTCGAACTCACAGAAATCCGCCTGCCTCTGCCCCTCAAATGCTGGGATCAAAGGTGTTCGCCACCACCGCCCAGCTCTCATAGGATTCTTATGCAACTGTTGAAACTGAAGCTAAGAAACTACGGGAATAAGAACCTACACCTTACCAAGAGACAGGCAGGCAGATCTCTACGAGTTCAAGGCCAGCCACATCTACATATCAAGTTCTATGCCAGACAGGGCTACTTAGGAGTTTAAAGCCACCATCTTTAAATGGTGATTTTGAGGCCAGTCAAGGCTTTGTGAGACTTGATCTTAAAAAAATTAAAGAAAAAAGTTACAAGTAAATTAATAAAGACTCACAGCACTTCCAGAGAAATCCTTTCCCCTCTCTATGTGTCAGAGGTTTGACCCATTAACTGGAAAAAATCGGTTTGATCTTTTTACAGAAGCGAAGCTGAGAATGGCTTCCAGGGCAAAGGTTGCAAAGCATCAGGGTTCCTGGACCTCCCAAAGGATGGATGCCACTACCCACATCCTCTCGGCAGTGGGCAGAGAAAGGCACGGACAGGAGCACAGAGGAGGAAGGGAGAGAATCAGACACAGAGACAGTCTGGGACCACAAAGCCAGTTGTCTCCTTGTCTCCATGCCCCATGAACCTCACATCTGCCCTCTACTGATGGACAGGGCAGATACTCACCCAGTGGCTGGATGGCAGGCGGCGCACTCTGTCCTGTTGGATCAGGGACTGCTCCTTGGCCATCCAACAATGACTGGACAGCCAAAACAGTCTGATTGTCCATTCCTGAAACAGGAAATGCAGCCTGTGAGGACATGGGCCCAGCTTCCACTCCAACTTCACCCTCACAAGCCAGATCCACCACAAAAACCCCAGATATGTTCTCTCTACTTCTCTGCAACAGATCCCAGGATGTGAGGCTGGAAACATGGTCTCAGAGTAAAGATCCCCCTCCTAAGCCTCTCTTGCAGCTGGGAAGGACTACATGCTATCAAGGGGGCAGGAGGTGTTATAGGAAGTTAGTGTAGCAGTGCTCGCCTTTAATCCCAGCACTCAGCGGGTAGAGGCAGGGGGATCTCTGTGAGGCCAGTATGGTCTGTCTATACAGTACCAGAACAGCTAGTGGTTCTCAACCTTCCATGCTGTGACCCCTTAATACAGTTCCTCATGTTGTGGTGACCCCAACCATACAATTATTTTTGTTATTACTTCATAACTGCAACTTTGCTACTGTTATGAATCATAATGTAAATGTCTCTGTTTTCCAATGTTTTAGGACTCTATGTGAAAGGGTCATTTGATCCCCAAAGAGGTCATGACCCACAAGTGATCTCTATTAGTCGAGGTCAGCCTGGTCTACACAGTGAGTTCCAGGACAGCCAACGCTACACAGAGAAACATTGTCTCAGAAAACAAGCAAACAAAAAAGATAGCTTTTCAAAAGATCACCTACCCACTTTTCTTTTTTAAGATAGGGTCTCACTCTAATAGCCCAAGCTGTCCTTGAACCCATTATGAAGGGTTAAATTGCTCTTGACTTCATGGTGATCCTCCTGCCTTAGTCTCCAAGTGCTAGGATTACAGGTGTGCACCTTCACAACCAATTTTTTGCTTGTTTGTTTGTTTTGTTTTGGACAGGCTCTGGAGCCTGTCCTGGAACTCACTCTGTAGACCAGGCTGGCCTCAAACTCACAGAGATCTGTCTGCCTCTGCCTCCCGAGTACTGGGATTAAAGGCGTGCGCCACCAACACCCGGCTTCCACAACCAGGTTTATGTGGTGTTAGTGATTGGACCCAGGGCTTTTGTTGGGGGGGGGGAGCCATTCTACCACCTGAGCAGTATCCTCAAACCAAGAGATTTGTTTGTACCACAGTACACATGGAGGTCAGAGAATAACTGTGACATTAGTTCCCTTTCTATCTTTATGTGGGTCCCAGAGATCCAATTTAAACAATTAGGTGGCAAGGGCCTTACCTGCTGAGCCATCTTACTAGGCCCGAGATGTCTTAAAAGCTGCTAGTACGAGGTGCCCTTCTCTACCCAATCCCTAGCTCTGCTTCTAGAACAAGGACATGGAAGTCTACACACCACCCTTGATCTTGAGGATGAACTCTAGGGACGGGAACACAAAAAAGCTGGAAAAAGGAGCTGAGAGCGTGCCTCATGGCAGAGCACAGCTTGGCATGTACAATGCTTTAGTGTGTACAGAGGTCCAGTACCTGCCCCCACCCGGCAACAAAAGAAAACACAAGTGAGAATTCTTCTGGGCCAATGACACCCCTAGATGACTTTCCTTCGTACTTTCTATAAGCAAACAAATTTGTAATATCTCAAAGCCGTTGCTGGAGACTAATAAGCCAGAGCCCTTTAAAAATACCATTTACTGGTCCTCCTCACCCACACCCCACAAGTCTCCTTGCATTCTTTGTTCTCATCTCTGTCCCTTCAACATCAAACATCTGATGTTGAGTCTTCAAAGTATCTGCCCGTGCCCACATCTTCTTGCCAACTTTCCATCGTCTCTATTCACTCTAGTGACACTCAAGCTCTCACCCCCCACCGAAGGCCACTCGACAGCATCGGATGCACCAAGAACCCCCCCTTGGCTGCAGGTGTCACCCTTCTTGGATCCCTTCTACTTTTCTGGGGGTCCTTCTTTCCAGTCTTCTAGTGCCCACCCTCAAAGGTAGCTGTTGGAGGTCCCTTCCTTCTGTCTGGGTCCCACCTCCTCAGCAGTCCCCAGAGGTCTCAGCCCACTCATCTCATTCCACGTCTTGGGAAGTACAGACCTGGGGCCCATGCTCTCCTACACAGCTTCTGCCAACCCTTTCCCGCTGTTAGGTTTTGGATGGAGTCAGGTTGTTCAAGAGGACACTGAAATAAAAGCTAAGCAGTTTATTAGAAGAATTACTAACGCCATGGACAGAGGGACAACAGGATGGCGGGGGATCTGAGGAGACTTCAGGCCCCAGAATCTGAGACAGACAGCTCGGTGTCCTATGTGAAGAGAATCCGTGTCCATGGAACAGAAGTGAGGTCTGTTCCCATGCCCTTTGTAAGCCAGGGGAGAAAATTTACAGCAAGAACCTGAGCCAGGCTCTCTGATTCCCAGGCAGGAGTCAGGGAAGAGGGTGGGGAATAGGATGTGTCTGGTACCAAAATCTTAGCATCAATGCCCTTTGATGTTACCTCACTTCCCAAGTGAGAAATCCGACAGGCAATGTCCCAGTACAGTGCAGGTCAGTATCTGTGAGAGGGGAGCTCCATAGTAGGAAGACAGTTTACTGGGGGACAAAGTGCTGGGCTGCCTCAGAGAGTACAGAGCAGCAGCCTGTCGGGAAGGCAGGATGGGTGGGCCTTTGAGTTGATGAAGGCTGTTCTGGTTAAATGGGAACTAGATGCGCTTTGCCCCCATCAGTGGCAGAGAAGGGAAGTAGTGGCTTTCCTGACAGACAGAAACCTGAATTAAGCCAGATGGTGGTGGCCCATGCCTTTAATACCAGCACTTGGGAGGCAGAGGCAGGTGAATCTCTGTGAGTTCAAGGCCAGCCTGGTCTCCAAAGAGTTCCAGGACACCAACAAACACACCTTGAGGAAATTGATGGGCAAAAAAAATATATGTCTCAAAGGCAAGATCCACTTACATAATAGTCTTGGAAAGACAACATCTCATAGGTGAGGAACAGATTCGTGCTTGCCAGGAGTCAGGGATGAAGGGAGGAGAGGGATGCAGAGTGTGGGACCAGCTAGGATCTTGGATCCCTGAAACCCATCATCTGGTAGCAATGGATTCTTCCACACTGACAGGTGAGAGTCACTAATGTAAAGATAATATCAGCACAAGAGCACAAGCTCTTGCACAAGCTGGGGGAAATCAGTTCTTGGGACCACTCCGCATTGTCTTAGAACTTCAGGAGGAAAAAAAATTTTTTTTCAAGATAAAATACGTGGGCCTGTGAGACGGCTCAGTGGGTAGAGACATCTGGCAAGCTGAGTTTGATTTCTAGGACCCAGACAGTGGAAGGAGAGAAACAACTCCTGCAAGTTGTCCCCTGACCTCCACAGGCATGCTGTGACGTAAGTATGTATATAAAAGGAAGAAGAAATATAACCCCAAATTAAACAGGCTCTCCTCCACATATGTCTCTTCTGGTAACATCGCAGCAGGGCACTATCCTTCCAAGCAAGAGCCCAGGGGACCCCCTGAATCTTCTCTCACCCCACTGCTTCCTGCCTGACATTTTCAGACTTCTGGCAAACCTCTTCTGTCTCCCAAATATATCTGAAATCCACTTTCCATCCCCTCAGTTGCCTGACCTAGTGCCTCACTCACCTCCCTGCTGCCTTCAGCCCCCTCCAGGCCAATCCCCAGAAGCCAGGGTGAACTTTATAAAACATACATCAGATGATATGGCTGCCTTGATGAAACCTTTTCTTAGCACCACACTGATCCCAAGATAAAGTTCAGAAGCGTCATCAAATCAGTGGAGGTCTGCTCTCTAGCTGCTCTCCAATGCTGAGCTGTGATACGGGAAGCCTAGCTCTCCCCAGGGCTTTGCAAATGCTTCCACCACCTGGCCTTTCTGCCCTCCCGTTGGATCAACACACACCTGCTGTTCTTCCCTCACGCAGAAATTTTACTAATTTTGGTGCTGGAGACCTTTCAAAGCTGGCTACACTTCCTGGTTTCTCTTTTTTTTTATTATTCAATACACAAATGCATGCTTGTAGTAAACATTGAAACAATGCAATACCCCACTGTCCTCCAAGAGCGAACACCCGTGACCCTACTACCCAGATTCCAACCATCCCTGCTATTTTCTTCACAGAACACACAGTTGGGGTGTCTTTGCCATTTTCTTTTTGGGTTCTTGTTGTTTTGTGGTTTTGCCTGTTTTGTTTTCTGGAGGATATTTATTTTCAATATTTTATTATTTTGATACCATAATTTGATCACAACATTCCTTTCGCTTTCCAACTTCCAAACCCTCCCATGTAACTTCTCCACTCTCCTTCATATTCAGGGCCTTTTTTTTTTTTTTTTTTTTTTTTTTTTACGAGACAGGGTTTCTCTGTATTGTTTTGGAGGCTATCGGTCCAGCCCGGCCTCGAACTCACAGAGATCCACCTGCCTCTGCCTCCCGAGTGCTGGGATTAAAGGCGTGCGCCACCACCGCCCGGCCATATTCAGGGCCTTTAAAAAGAATGCAATTGCACGCATATGGGGCCCAAGTTGGCCTCAAACTCAATATGTAACGCCAAGGCTAACAAAATCCTATTTTCCTGCCTGCCTCCATCTTCCAACCGCTGAGATTACGGGCATGCACCACCACACCCGGCTGGAGTTACCTTCTTTTTACTATTCTTTCCCACAATCTTGGCGGCGGGAGTGGGGTTGGGTGGGGTGGTGTGGAGTAGTCATGAGGGAGGGTGAGAATAGCTGAGTCTGGTTCAGTGAGAATCACTGAAACTACACCCCTGTCGATGGCAAAAGGCATCCATCATCCCGTGGTGAGAACTCATCCTCCAAGAAGCTAGGTGGCTGAGAGCTGGAGAGCCACAAGGTCTCCGCTTGCCCGTTCTGTCCACAAGCGTCTACGCTAGCAGTCCACCCCGCCCTCCACGCCCGCGGCGACACCGTGCCCAACTCCACTCCTGTTTCCAGAGCTATCCATTCGGCTAAACTCCAGCTGGTGCACACGGTGGCGCACAGAGCTCGCTGCCTCCAGAGCCCGAGGCCCAGCCACCTCGGTGATCTTGCAGATCACAGGACAGGATGCAATCGGATCACGGGCCAGTGAGGTCCGTGCAAGGCACACGGCGTCGTCGGTTCTGACTCAGGAGCTCACAACCGGTGCCCTCTGTTTACTGGTCTGGGCCTGTGATCTCTCCCAGCCTCGGCTGTGCGCACAGGCGGCGTCTCCTTCCCTGCTCTGCATTTAGTAGGACGACGCCCCAGCTCTAGGGGCACAGTGAGTCTCAGGAAGTTCTCGGTGGTCAGGGCGCCTGATTGGGCCGCCCAGGCCCTCCCGTCCCGCGGTCCCTCCAGACCCGGGTCGCCGGCTGTTTCCTCCGCGCGCATCCCCCCCGCGCCAGCGAGCAAGGCTGCCGCGCTGTTCCGGTCCTGAGGCCCCCTCCCCTCAGGGCCGGCGCTCCCCGGCTGTTCCCGCCCCCTCCCGCCCCGCGGCTGTTCCGGCCCGGACGCCCTCCGCCCTCCGCCCCGCGGCCTCCGCGCGCCCTGGGCCCGCTGCTGCGAGGGCGCGGCGGGAGGGGCGCCACGCGGAACAGCCGCTGCCCCGGCCCGGCGCGCTCACCCTCCAGGGCCTCGAAGATCGCCTGCGCCATCTTGGAGCCGCCGCCGCCGTGGGAGACGGAGCCGGGCTACGCAAGCATTGTGGGAACCGCGGCGGCGGCGGCGGGATCGGGGCCGCCAGGGGGCGCCCAGGAGCCAGCGCCGAGCCCCCCTGCCCCGGAAACACAGCTTTCTCTGCTGTCCGCCAGAGACCTAGTTCCCTAGTGGTTCCAATTCTGCACGGACATACGTCCGGTTCTCGCACGCCACCTCCGAAAGCTGACACCGACCCTAGTTCTGAAACACGAAACCCATTATCGCTGCACATAGTATTCTCCAACTTTGCAACACCAACCAACCTCACCGGGATTACCCAACTGTCTCAATGACACCCCACACCCTGCAACTGTGCCGCGTATGTCAAAATGATTTTCATCTCCACCTGGTATTAATCTCTCATTATCTCTTAGATTCCCTTAAGGCTCTTCTTTACCCCGGCTTCCAGCTTTGAGGGGCTCTCCATCCCTATTCACATCTCTCGACCCTGATTCTCTGGGACCCCATTTCTGTCACAGACCTTATATCCATCTCAGTCATCGTTATCCCAAGTTTATAGGGATCCACCCTGTAAGGATTCAGGCATTATGCTGGCCTGCTCCTGCCACCTGGCAGAATGCACTCAGGCAGTACCCTGGTCAGCCCAGGGTTCCATGACCCCTTTAAAAGAAAGATCCCCATCCACCATGGTTTCTCTGGCCCTGGGGCCGACAGGGCTTTTCCTGTCCCCCTCTTCTCTTCGGTCCTCTCTCTGTCTCTGTGTCTTTACCTCTTTCCTCCTCCCCCCCTCCCTTTTCCCTTTCTAGTAAAACCTGTCACAAAGCTTTGTCTGCCTGGCATGTTTGTCCCCAACCTCGGTCACCCTCATCTGCCATGGAATCTGTCAAGTTTCCCCACACACTTTATCATAACACACCCCCCACTTCCGACTATATGCCCTCTTGTTTATTTATTTACGTGCATTGGTGATTTGTCTGCATGTATGTCTGTATGAGAGTGCTGAATCCCCTGGAATTGGAGTGAGCTGTCATGTGGGTGCTGGGAATTGAATCCAGGTCCTCTGGAAGAGCAGCTAATGCTTTTAAACACTGAACCATCTCTCCAGCTCCTCGTGTCCTCCTTTTACATTTATTATTCATTTGTGTGTGTGAGAAGACAACATTCAGGAATCGATTCTCTCCTCCACTATTTGAGACCCTGGAATTGAACTCAGGCTCTATACCAAGTACCTTTATCAACTGAGCCATCTCTAAGGCCTCTCTTGTTTTGTTTATAATCCACCGAGTCTTATTTGTCTGCCAGTGTATTGATTGAAACATGGTCTACCAGGGACTACACCCTTAAAGGAAACTGGCTATCCCTCCCAAGGCAGCCCCTAGTGGGAATTGTGAGCTCGTCCCTCATGCCTTCTGGAATGGTGATTGGCTTGATCCTGTGCAGGCAGAGAACTGCAGTTGGTCTGAGTCTGTAAGTGCTGTAGGCCTGTCATTTCTGAGACACGATTTCACCCCAGTCCTTCCCAACCTCTGGCTCTTAGAATATCTTTCCACCCCCTCATCCATGAGTCTTGGTAGGGGCAAGAGATAGGAGATAGAGGTCTCTACCACTTGTGGCTGGTCACTCTACTGACACTTCAACCAGTTGTGAGTTTCTGGGTTAACTGCCATCCATTGCACAAAGAGTTCTCTTGATGATGCCTGGCAGCTGCCCTAATGTATGGGTAAAAAATTAGGAATTTAGAGGGCAGTTTGATATTATGGACATTCAATCTTTAAAAATATTTAACAGCTGGGCGTTGGTGGCACATGCCTTTAATCCCAGCACTCGGGAGGTAGAGGCAGGCAGATCTCTGTGAGTTCGAGGCCAGCCTGGTCTACAGAGCGAGTTCCAGGACAACCTCCAAAACAATACAAAGAAACCCTGTCTCAAAAAACAAACAAAAAAATTAACTATCGGGCTGGAGAGATGGCTCAGTGATTAAGACCACTGGCTGCTCTTCCAAAGAACCCTGGGTTCAATCCCCAGCACCACATGGAAGCTCACACCTGTCTGTAGCTCTGGTTCCAGCGTTTGACACCCTCACACAGACAAACATGTAGCAAAATACCTATGCTCGTAAAATGAACGTAAATCATTAAAAAGTAAAAAAACTACAATATGCAATAGGAGTGTCAATCTGTTGCCTTTGGACAACAAAGAAATGTTGGAGGAAGCCCACATGGGGAAAGGGGAACCAGACAGATGCCATCAACAATGGATGGTCCCTATTGTTCTAAGACCGAACTACCATGAATTTGACTCCAAATATCTTCCTTGTTTCCCACAGATATCTTTAAGCCTCAGCCGAAGGAACAATCAGTACAAGCCACAGTTTTCACTCTCTCCACTAAGCTCCTAAAGTTAGGAAATGCACCTTAAGCTCCTCTTTGTTGGGACACTGCAGAGCAAGCCCCACACCTGTCAGGACTGCATAGTGAGGCCCTGTCTCCACACAGAACAAAAAAAGCCTTCACTGCTGTGACGATACATAAAAGGGAAGGTGAAGTCTGTCCCTTCCAACAGGCCCTGCCAAGGTTTGCCGCTACGCAAACATGCCACAAGCAACAGGGTTAGTGCAAGAGGGTTATTTCGGGAACTGTGAGAGTTGAAAGAGTGACAGGTCATGTCAGCGTGGGGACACAAAGAGGCAAGAGAAGAGAGAAGAGGCCAGAGAAGAAAGAGGAGGCAAGAGAGGAAAGAGGAGGCAAGAGAGGAGTAGGAGGCAAGAGAGACGAGAGGGAAGAGGCAAGAGAGCAAGCTGTCTCTGGAGGGCACTTTTAAGCGGAGCACATGTTGCATAGCTGATGGTGAGAAGGCGCCTGCTGACAGGCGATGACGTAACCGCTTTGGCAGCAGAGGCAGGCTGCTCCTTGGTGGAAGCTAACATTCCTCCATATTGTGTTATTAAAAGGTGAGGAACTGGGCTGGAGAGATGGCTCAGCGGTTAAGAGCACTGCCTGTTCTTCCAGAGGTCCTGAGTTCAATTCTCAGCAACCACATGGTGGCTCACAACCATCTGTATTGAGATCTGGTGCCCTCTTTCTGGCCTTCAGTTATACATGCAGGCAGAACACTGTACACATAATAAATAAATAAATCTTTAAAAAAAAAGGTGAGGAACTGGCAAGAGTTAGCAGGTGAGGCAGGAATAAGGACTGCTTCCTGTTGTCTGGGGGCAAGTGTTGTGCCCTTACCACAAGCAAGTCCAGGGTATCAGGAAAAGAGAGACTAGACGTATACTTGTTTGTACTAAGAGAATACATGTGTTGCCTTTATTGCCAGGAGAGTGTGTGTGTGTGTGTGTGTATCTTTATTACAAGTGCTAACAGGTCTCTCCCTTGTAGGAGGGAGGAGCTTTTTATACAAGTTTACAGCACAGTGGAAAAAACCCCAGGTAGAAGAGATCGTTGTTTTCCTCCTGCTAGATGTTGATGTCAGAGGGTCAAGGCCAGGGCAGTAAGCCAGGACTAGAAAACAGAAAGCACTTGGACTGGAAAACAAGTTGCACTTGTAGGCTGACCAGCAACTCACAGAGACCCCATGGGGCTGGGGCCCAACAGGCAAGGGCATCTTTGGGGGACCTCAGAAAGCTGGGACACTGGCTGAGTCCTGAGATAGCTGGCTGTTTTGCTCCCTGTCCAGGCTTTGTGGGGTCATCTCCAGTGCTAGGAGTTAGGAAAGTTCAGGCCTAGTTGAAGCGATCTCTAGCCACTTCGAAGCTGTCTGGGATGCAGATTTTGAGGGGACACCTGGACCTGACAGGATGCTAGCAGAGCAGAAGATAAAGTTAAAAAGTTTCAGGGGGAAATTGTTTTCTTAGGTCCTGATAATTGAGGGAGGGGAATCCCAAGACCAGGGAGATCCCACTTCAGGCACAGGCAGTAGGTGGAGAAACTTAGGCTGTTGATTGACAGTACTTACCTGGAGTTCATGTCACCTGTTATAGGTGGCTACAAGTTGACTCCCTGGAGCTTACAACAATTTTTTGAGTTTACAAAAGAGATTAGTTTTAGACATATTAGCATTCCAATTGTTTGTAATCTATACTGAAATCCACATTGTAGGAAAGGCAGTAGACTCATGGCTTTGAGTCACAGGGGACCCAAAAAATGATTCTGCTGAAAAGCATGAACACTCTTTATCCAGAAGGCTGGATGTATATAAACTACACAGAAGGTTTTAGTGAAATGAGAAGCACTTTTAAATCTATACTTAGAAAACAACCAAAGAGGATTTGAAATCTTGAGTTTGTGACTGTGATATAATAGTGGTGCTTTACCAGAGCTAGAGTAGCAGCTTATCAGAAGTCCATTGACTAATGTTAAGACTATAAACTTCTGGAGTCTTAATATAACAGTAGCAAACCAGAGAAAGAATCCTAAAACATATTTTGTTCTTTCATACACCATAAGTCACCTTTAAAAAAATCACCATTTAAGGGTTCACATCCTCAGACCTTTATAACTCAAATTTATACACCTTAGTCCGCCCGGCGGTGGTGGCACATGCCTTTAATCCCAGCACTCAGGAGGCAGAGGCAGGTGGATCTCTGTGAGTTGGAGACCAGCCTGGTCTAAAAGAGCTAGTTCCAGGACAGCCTCCAAAGCCACAGAGAAACCCTATCTCGAAAAACAAAAACAAAAAAACACCTTAGTTCTGGCGTTGGTGGCACACGCCTTTAATCCCAGCACTTGGGAGGCAGAGACAGGTGGATCTCT